GAAAATTCCCGCTCAACAGCAAACTCTTTGCGCTAAACAATCTGCATCGTTACCCATGCAAACTTGAAACAATCTCAACTTACTGGGAAGCATACAATGTAATCTGCCATGTTAAGTGCGCTAAATCATGAAATTGCTGACAAGATCTTTCGCTGTCCATAGCTGGGTATCTATTCCTACCTTGGTGAAGTGAGCGAAATTCGTGGCAAGTGCCTTTCCCAAATGACACAATGTCAGCCCTGAGGCTCGAACCCCGAAAATAGCAACCTCACGCCTAAGAGTCCGGTAGTCTAGACTACAGACGCCAATTTATTGAAAGCTTGTCGAATAGAGAAAATTGCTGAGTTGCTATCAGTCAGTGCCATTTGTGATACGTGAGGCATCGTGTTGAAATCTGGCGCTCGTCAAAATAATGAAATAAAAGAAATCGGAATTTTTTAAGGCCATTGCTTTTTTTTTGGGGGGGGAGGGTAAAATTTTCTCTCTTTGGCCCAATACCTTATAATGCCCATTAAAATTCACGTTTATATGTGGTTTTTACTTTAAAATGTTGATACACAGTGAAACAAATAAATGTAAATGTGCAGTTCAAAATACTCTCAAGCTTTGGAAATCACCAAACGTTGGCGGCCATTCTCTTGTAATCTTACATATGAAATCAGGCGACTCCCACCTCCTTCAATTGCAAATATCTCAATTTCTACTCAAAACAGATGAGTAATTTCATCATGAAAAGCAAGACGAATGAACACTTTATAAGATTATACCAATGATTCATCGTGCCCAAAATGTGACGTGCGCCTGGTTCCACCATGTCGTGACACATATTATCATGCAACACAGAGAGAGTGTGTGGAAATGTCAGGTACAGACCTTGTCTCCCATCTGGTCTACCAGGCGAAGAATGTGGTTCATGTCAAGCCAAGAGAGAAAGCCTCCTATAGGAGGGAACACTGAGTTGAACCGTTTGGTCTTTCCCTGGACAAAGCAAATAACATACAATGAAACAGATAAGATAATGTATTATAGTCACATCTCAATGATAGAATTACATAATATTGTACAACATCTCAATGTTGAACCTGACTGATGCCCGATAGAGCGTTTGCTTTAGTAACTGTTTTACGGCACTTGCAACACAATAAGGTGATAGAAGGGCCGAAGAGTAGGGATGTTACAAGAGAGTAACAAACGCAAAAGAGAAGGAGGGGAGAAAAAGACGATATAATCCATGTTTGATAAGAAAGAAGAAGCAAACCACACCAGAGCA